TGCCCACGGAACGCGAATGGTTCCTCCTTGGCAAGAGCCGGGCTGCCAGGGTGGCGGCAGAGAGAGCCAGCTGAGGGGATCAGGACCCCTTCCACCTCCTTTGCCAGGAAATCCTGAGGAGAGGGCATCCTGGCAGGGAGGCACAGGCCTGGTGGAGATGGGAGCCTCCCTGCGTGGGCATGGGAGGGGGGACATGGCCTGAGGATCCGGCCGCCCGCCCCAGCGAATGACACCCCCCCCCCTTAGATGCTGGCCAGCTGGTGGCTTCTTTCCTTCCTGGCCGTCCGGGAAGGGAGGCAGCAGCTCCGTTCCCTTGCTCGCCTCCTCTCCTGGCAATGGCAGACATTTGGTGAGACCGGGTCGGTGGGAAGGAACGGGCAGTTGGATTTTAAGAATTCTCTAATTAGTGGCTGATTGCTAGGAGGTAGGAATGAAAAGGTAACGAGAAAGGCACCCAAATCAGTCCTAACGGCACAAAGGAAGCCAGGCGGAAATAATAGGAGTCTAAAATTATCACTCTGCGGAGCAGCCACCGAGGAAGGCAGCTTTGCCTGGAGGCCGTGCGGTTGCCTGGAGCAGCCGAGGAGGAGGAGGCAGCGGCCTCGTTGTTGTCGATGCTCCACGCGGGGAAGGCGGCCATCAAGGAGGTCCGCGTCTCTGATCCGGAGAGGGCTAGCTGGAAATCTGGAGTGGTGGAGGGGAGGGATGAAACATAGGTGCCGGTCGCTGGAGAGCAAAAGGGGGGGGGAGCATTGAAGCCAGCCTGGCCCCGGACCATTGCCCTGCTTCCCTTGGGCCAGAGACAGAGTCCCCCCCCCCCGTTCCTCTGGGTGCCAGGCCACTCCGGGGTGTGTGTGTGTGATTGGGAATTACTGCCCCAAGGAGCAGCCTTGGGCTTTGGGATTCCTGAAGATCATCTCATGCTCCATCTTTCAGCCCATGGAAGGTCCCATCCCCCCCACCCACTCCCCAGGCTGGGGAAGGGGCGTTATTTGGGGTCAAAAACAACTTTTACATCTCATACTTTATTTTTTGTCTGATTGTGTTTTTTTTTAATTAATCGTGCTGCTGGGAATTTGGAATATTTTAGATATATTGTTTATGTTGATGTCTGTTGTTAATGCCCTGAGTAATGCTTTCAACTAAGTCAGGTGATGAATGAATGAACGACCGAATGAATGAATTTCTCTTAGGAGGCATGAGCCACAAAGTCTTCCCTCCCTCCCTCCCTCCCTCCATAAATTACAGAGCGCCATCCAGGAGAAGGCTGACACATGAAGGACCCTCAGAATTCTACTGCAATGGAAATATCTCAAGAGGGAGCCTGATGGAGGGGGGGGGAGAGGACCGTCCCGTGGTGCAGCAGCTGGCCTGAGAGAGGCACCCAAAGCCAGGCCCCCAAAGGCTCAAAGCCCCTTCCCCACATAGATCCCAGAGGCTTTCCTGCATCTCTTTTGGGGCCCCTGTGAGGCTACTTCACCCTGTGCTTCAGCAGCCCACCCACCATCTCAGGAAATGGAGATGCTTGTAGCCTCCCATGCAAAAGTGGGGGGGGGGCATCACATCGGATGTCCCTCAGGCTCACCTTCCACAAATCCTCACTACTGTATCTGCGAGCCAAGAACAGCGCCACAGGATAAAAACGGATTTTAACTCTCTAATGTCATTACCTGGCTATTACTGGAAAACCAGTTACAGGGGTATGTGTGTGGAGGGGGGAGGCTTCCTAATGAAGAAACCAAGCCTGGCTGCCTGAAAAGTTTCCACTCAGGGGGCCAGAAGTGGAAGGGCCTTCTTCCACTCCTATATCAAGAGTGACCAGCCTGCTTGCTTCCCCTCCTGCTCCTCGTTACACCTGTTCTGGGATCTGGAGGACTTATTCTAAAGAAGAAGATGACCGTCCAGTTCAGCAAACAAAGCCAGCCAGAAATATCTTCAGGGCTCCACCTAAGAATTCACATATTCTTTGGATTATATGAGCCATAATATTTGCATAATTTTTAACATTATTGTATGTTATTCAATTGAATGCAAGCCACCTTTCCCAAACAAATTACCTCCCCCCCCCCCGGGTGGTCAATAATATATCAAGATTATACAAGAACAACAAAAATTAAGGCATTGGTGGTATGCACCACCTCACTCAGAGGAAACAGACGCATAACAGTCAGCAGCAGAGAAAACAAGCCCACTAAAAGATCAGCCGCAGGTGAAGCAGAAACAAATTATTCTAACTCATTCAAAACCCAGCTGTAATGAACAGACCTTGAAGGCCCTCCAGAAAGCAAAGAGGGGCAGGGCCCAGGCCGTTCCACGGGGACAACGCGCCAGGGTCCTGCACGGAGGTCCCCCCCACCCCTGCCATGCTCCTGCTTGCTATGAGCAGAGCGGCTCTTGTCAGCTGACCTGAGAGTAGGGCCTCCCACCCAGTGCTGGGCTTAGAGTCTCAGCTATGTGGAAGATGCTTCGGGCTCTAGACGTGATGCCTAGACCCTTCGACTGGGCTCATACATAGCCAAAGAGGCAGCCAACAGAGCGGGCACCGAACAGCTGGGATGGGATCCAAATGCTGAGTTCCTGTCAGGATGGGGGCCATGGGAAGCAGCACCAATTCCAGATTGCCCTGATTGATGGACGACCAGCTCCTCGGCTGTTTGCTCATTTCAAACAGTCTATAAGGGCAGCCTCACATAAAGTGCATTGCAGGAGTGTAGCACAGACGCACCTGGGGTCTACGTCACTGCTTTCACAAATGACAATGCCTTTGTGTTTCACCCTAGCTCCATAGAACCACCCTGAGGACCTACAGGCTGAAATCCTGGTGTAACCTGGGATTATGGAGGCGGTAGCTTTAACTGCACCAAGATGGAAGTCCTATTCACACAAAAAGCAAAAACGGATACACCGCAGGCACACTTGGTGCCACTGATCATGACCGGAACTGTTCAATCAATGATGTAACTGAACAGGGCCATCCTCGTTGCTTGGGCATAACAACCAGCAAATTCACGTAAACATAACTTGAACTTACATGAAGACAACGAGGATTCTGGCCACTATGTAAACCCACAAATGCAAGAGCAGGTGATACCTTTATTAGACCACTAAAAAACGAACATACAGCAAGCTTTCATGGGTAGAATCCATTTCTTCAGGCTATGCACCAATTTTTTATGGATAGTGCAGAAACCTCACCCCAAGATTTCATGGCAAGAAGAGCTGGGTGAAATATTCCAGCAGTGCTACCAGGGGCAGGGCTCAAGACCAACCCCTCCTCCCCCCCCCCGGGCTATTTGCAGCCAGCTTTTGAACTCATGTCTTGGAAGCAGGCCTGGCACAGACACCTGTCATGAATGTTTGAGACAATTTTTCTGCACCTTCCATGAGCTATTGGTGCATGACCTGAAGAAGTGGAGTTTACCCATGAAAATAGATTTTTTTTAATGGCCCAATAAAGGTATTGCCTCCTCTTGCATTTGTGTAATTGCCCTTTTCCTAATTTTTTTATGGACGATGCAAACCCATTCTCACTTTAGCACAGAGCTTGATGCATTAAAAATAAATCACAACTGTTTGATTCACAAGACACTTAAGCAAAAACAACAGTGTCTTTGGGCTTAATTGAATTGTGGATCAACTTCCATGACGGGCCACATTTGGTTCTGGCCCCGGATTCTGGGATGGAATCCCGGCCCTCTTCTTCATGGAGCTAAAAGGAGTTTCTACCACACCCCTCGTCCTAAAGGAGAAAAAAACGGGCACCTACAAAATCCACCTTGGGCCGTGGCCGCGGGGCTCACCGCTGCCCTTGCTGCTTCTAAGCCCTACCTCCAGCCAGGATCCTCTCCTCCAGTTCACTCATCTGCTTCTTGTAGGCTCTCAGAGCAGCTTCTTTGAAGGACGGCCGCACCCTCTTTTTCACGGGTGTCTCGACAGGAACCTCTGGGAAATTCTGGTTTTCATCTTCGCCTCCTTCCTCTCTGGTTTCTACAGTCACCTCATCCGCAAATTCCATCATGTCATCGTCACCAACCACCAGGCTTTCGAAGCAGCCCTCGGGCGTCCCGTCCTGCGAGAAGGCGTACGGGCTCTCGTACGGGGTCTGCTCAGGCTCATCCTCCGGGATTTCTTCCTCCAACTCACTGGCACTGGTTCTGTTTTCCAGTTTAGCGAGAACCTGCTCCATAACTTCCACATAATCTGTTTCATTCTCCCCAACAGGCTCGCTGTAGTCTTCCTCGTCGTCGGCTCTGTAATAATACGGCTCTGTGTAAACGTCCGAGTCGAGGGTGGTGCTGGACTCGTTCGCCGTTGACGGCGACAAAGTTCGAAACCTCCCCATGAAAGACGACCCACTGTCTTCACCCCCGCTGAGGCTCTGGGCGCTTTTATTCCACACCACCTCCAAGGCCGACCGCGCCCTCTGCAGAGTGTTCCCAAATTTAGGAAAGCTGAACGTCTTGTCGGACAGGTCGATGCTGAGCCGGCTGTGCCAGGACTTGGGAGGGGCTTCCTCCGAGTTATCGCTGGGCAGTTCGCTCTGGCTTCGGTACATCGTCGGCACCCTGTTCTGGTTCTGGTACAGGGTGCTGGCATTCATCTCCTGGTAGTCATCATACTGGCCGGTCCACGGGCTCTGTTTTTCGCTGTCAAGACCCTTATCAGAAGCGGAGTTGTTCATGGCAAAATCATCATTCTCTGCATCGTACTGGGCATCAGACATTTGGCCGTAGTCTACCTGTTGGTCAGAAGAGCTGCTCAGGTCATAGGTCAGCATGTCTTGGGTGGATGAGTCTAACCCCAGATCTGTGTCTTGCTCCATTGGGTTCCATGGGGAAAAGTCACCTTCCAAGGAGACCTGAGAGTTGCTGTAATGACTCTGGTCTCCGGAGACGCACATGAGCCCATTGCTGACTCCACTGTCAGCCGCTTCTGCGTTCCCACCGTCGTCCCCCACTCTGTAAAGGCTCCCATCTTCTTGATTGGATGCCTGTTCTTGAGACTCAGCACACCAGCTGGATCGGTTATCCTGCGTTCGCTGCCACAGTTCTCGATCAGAGAAAGATAAAAGGGAGCTGCCACTGGTTCTACCAAAACACGGATTCTCTGAAAAATCTTCAGAGTATGACTGGCAGAGCTTAGAAAAATCAGATTCTGAGCGGCTGAGCTTCAAGGTGGCAAAGTCGTTCTGTGACTGCCAGAGAGAGTGGGCGGTGGAGTAGCCGCCAGCCGTGGGCTCCTCCGGTGGACCCTCAGTTTTGGGGCACTCTCGGCTGTAGCTGACTTTACTTGAGGGGCTGTTGCCCTCGGAAGCTCCCTTCTGGACTCGGGTGTCCAAAGGTTCCTCCCGAGCCTTGGCAGGACCTCTTTTCATCTGGGGCGCCGATTTGGAAATCTTTGCGTAACTATTGCAGTTTATATCTGACTCCAGTTCTCTGTCACTGCTGTCGGGAGACTCCCAGTCATGCTTCTTAGCTTTGGGGTCAACAGCCAGCAGCTTCCTGTCCATACTTTCGTATGTCTGCGAGGAAGGCAGAGTCCTCTCTTTCTTTTCCCTGGCATCGTGAGGGACAATATCAGTGGAAATCCCAATCCCAGTGCCTTTGAGCTTGTAAGACTTTTTCAGAACTAAATCTCTCTGCTGTGGCGTCTCGAAGTAAACCAGGATGGGGCGGGGCTTCGCACCGGGGCACTCCCGGGGCTGCCCCATCCGGTGTGCCACTTCTATTTTGACAGAATTCTGTGCCTCTGGAAACCCCATTTTCTCCACCAAAGTTCTGTACACCACATGCTCAAGGTTTTCAAACTTCTCCTCGGGCACGTTTAAAAACCTAAGGCCGGTTTTGCTCCCCGAGTGCCCGATCCGCTTGATATAATCGTGTATGTCCCGCGTCTCCCTCCTGGACTGCACGAAACCTGTCCGCAGCTGCTCAATCTCACTCTGCACGATCTCCACGCTGCTGGAGATCTCGTCAATGGACTGCTTCAGGGCGTTGACGTGGCCCCGCAGTTCCGAGAGCTCCGTCTCGATCTGGCTGATGCCCTGAAGCTCCTTGAAGATCATCTCCATCACGTCGTGGGTTTGGCTGATGCAGCCTGTCGAGCTGAAGCCCGGCTCGAGGGTGCTGGACTTCTGTGGGCGGGCCGTCCGGTCCAGCGACTTGCTCCGCAGGCCCCAGGACCTCTTCCAGGTGCTCAGCTCCGAGTCGGAGGAGACACACTCCTGGCTCTTCTTCCATTTCCGCAACTTCCGCAGCGCCCCCAGCTTCAGGCTGTGCAGGGTGCGCTCCCCGTCCGAGCTGCCGTCGGAAGGGGCGAGGCTGCTCACGCTCTTGCGGTTGCGCCTCACCGGCATGGCGTGGGAGGAAAGTTCCCGGCTGCTGCTCAGGCCCGTGGTTTCGGCGCTCAGGGGCTCCGAAAAGGAGCTCTCGGTGGAAGACACGTCCGGAGGAGGAGGAGCGTCATGCTTGTGGGCTAGGAGAACACTCTTCTGGAGCCCATTGGCGATTGCGACCCGGTAGCTGAACGTGGGGGAGAGGGAGAACTCTTGGCTGCCCCCGTCAGCGTCCCTCGACAAGTGGCGGGCGGAGGAGCGCTTGGCGATCTTCTTCACGGTGCTCCTCAAAGCGCTGGAGAGCTTAGGGCTCTTTGCTTGGGCCAGATCGTGGGCAGGATCGGGCTCCTTGTTGCTTTGGCAACTCTCTTTCTTCTTTGTACTGTTTCCCAATTTCTTTGTAAACATTCCTCTGTAGATCTTATAGATGCAGGAAGAGATCAGACTCTGGAAGAGAGCAGACACCATGGAGAGCAATCCTGGCGAATCCCTTCCCACTAGAACGGGGATGTTTTCGATCCTTGAGAAAGTCTGGTCACTTTCAGCATGGTTAGGAGGCAGGGGTGGAGGTGGCGGCGGCGGCAGCAGCAGAAGCACCTCCCTGCTGAGTGATGCAAGGCCCTTGAGAGGGGTATGGGCTCATCCTGGCTGCTGCCAAGGTTTCTGAGTCACCCGAAGGCCCATTGGAAGGTGAGCAGTCCCCAACTCCTGAAGGAAGCCTGTGGATAAGTCAGGCTCTGGCTTGGCTTCCCGTCACTCTCCACCACATCTAGGAGATAAAGAAAGAAAGAAAGAATGAATGAATGAGTAGGGCTTCCGAACCCAGACTCGTGATTTCATGTAGAGCCCAAAAGGCAACTAACACTTTTCATGCAATGCTAGAACCATGGAGTCGGAAGGGGCCTCTAATAAGGCCATCGAATCCAAGCTCCTGCTCAAGGCAGGAATCCGCCAAAGCATATCTGAAAGAAGGTTGTCCAGTTCTCTCCTGAACGCCTCCAGCATTGCACCTAAGACGTTGCAAAGTATTTTAAAAATCAGAAGGTTTGCTCTGCATATAAAAAGAGGCCACATGATCTTGCGAAAGTACCTGCGGGCATATACTCTGTTGAGCTGGAACCAACTTCTAGTGGCACTGCCAGTGCTTTTCAGGTCAGTGAGACATTTAAGAAGTGGTTTTACCACCAGCCCCCCCTCCCACCACCAGGGAGTCTCCACGGCCAGGCAGGGATCCAAGCCCCCCAAGTCTGCCAAGTCTGAGTCCACCGCTCTCTCTGCTCCACCACACTGGGGATCTGCTGGATTTTAAAAAGTTTCCCAGAAAATGCATGCAGCGTAGAGGTGAAAAGAGGTCGCGCAGACGCCCTCAGCCCTCTCAGGGTACAACCCTCGGCCACGGAGTCCTCCTGGAGGAGAAACGCAAAATCCAGTAGGCGTTCAAAACGACTGCTCGCAAGTAAGTGCTCTGTGGTGGTGTGCTCACGCATTCATGGGCACACGCTTCATAGCTGTATCTGCTTTGCTACCTGACACCAGGAATGTTCAGACCCCAGGAGATCCCTATGCGAATTCTGGTAGCCCCCCCTCCTCCTCCTCCTCCTCTTCTGCCTTCCTCCCGCTTGCTCAGAGATTCCAGTAGTTCAGCTGTTCCAACCCTTTGCGTCAGCCAGAATGAGTGCAACAAAGGAGTATTTCCTGTAGCAACACACTGACGTGCACAATGCGAGAGGTGGTTATGCAATGTACGGTACAGCCACAGAGTTTGCAAGAAGGCCTTTCAAATCCATCAGAAAGCCAGAGTTTGGTCCCTACTTTTTTTTGAGGGGGGGAGGGAGCTGACTCTTCCACAAAACGAGGGGAGACCCCCTTCCTAGATTTCTGAAGGGAGTCAAAGCTGAGCCCGAGGGACAAAAGGGCAGGTGTGAGCCTGGGGTCGGAAGAGGGGAACATGAGTGTGGATGGCAGCACCGCAGCGGGGGCCCAGAGGGCGGAGGGCACCCCTGGGTATGTTCCTCTGTGCTGAGGTAGGTCAGGGTCCCATGGGCTCCCCTCCGCCAGAGCTCCTCTGCTGGTCTGGGTCTCCATGTGCTCCCAAAGGAGTCCCATCAGACGAGCCACCTGGTTCCTCCTCAGCCCCCACTGGAGCTGGCTGATGGCACCCAGACCCCCGGAGCCAAGCCCCCCCCGCTTGTCCTCCGATCTGATGGCTCAAAGCAGCACCTGGGGTGCAGAACCAGGACCTTGGAGGGCATTCCCCCCACACACACACCTGCAGCCCCAGCCACCTGCAGAGGCCTTCAAATCAGCCAGCTTGGGAGTGGACGCTTCTTGTCTGCTGAAGGGGGGGGGGATATGCCTCACAACCCTCAGTGGGTGGACTGAGCAACCAGGCGAGATGGGAGAGGGGCAGATCACTGGGGGGGGGGGACCAGCGGCATATGGAAAGCAGGAAGGCCGGGGCAGGCAGCGTGGGGCCCGGGCGAGAGTTGAGCTACCTTTCCATGGGGGAGCAGCCGTGGGCCAAAACCCCTGGCAAAGTCTCTCCTCCCAGTTTGCCACCCAGAGCACTTGGGAGTTTCCTGCCCTGCAATACAAGAAGGTCCCATCTTCCCCATTTAGGACTCTAAATCAGTAGGGGATACTGTGAGCCCAACCATGGGTAGGGTGGGGGGAAGGAGCAACACCCACCTTCCCTCTCTATTTCTTCAAGCAGTTTTTTCCTCCTCACCCCCTCCCTCCATATGAACTAACGCTGCCATGTGCTCCACCGTGTCTTCCCTTGAGAGAGAGAGAGAGAGAGAGAGAGAGATGGGCTCCCTATTAGCATGTGACAGGAAGCCACCTCTTCCCTGGCCTTGGGAAACCTGGTCCAGACGGGGTTGGGGTTGGGGGGTGCCTCCAGGTCAGGTCTCCTAGGGAGACAGGTGGGGAGAGCAACAGGTGGTGCTGTGCTCCTCCTGTGCCTGAGCGGGGCGTCAGGTTTGCGCGTCAGGTTTGCGTGAAAGAGCGGGGGGGCTCCCAACCCCCACCCCCACCCTCAGGGCTCAAGCCCAGCAAAGGGGGCTTCTCACTCAGGAGGCTGCAGGAAGCAGCAGGGCCCCCACACTCCCGCTCTGCCCTGGGGGGGGCGCTCTCCTGAC